TCTTAGATGTGAGCTGCAACTTGTGATAATTCGTCGCCTCGTCGCACGGCCTGCTTGTGTTCATGTATGCGCGATCCGAGCATGCGTTCAGTTTGACCTGTGTAGTTACAGGGGCAGCTTAGGCAGGAGCCCGAAAGCTCAGATTAAAATACAAATCGTTCCAGTGTTCGATCATGTCTTCTTTACCGATACAAATACCTGGGACACGAACTTTCTCTTTCATTCTTGACTCATCCCTTGAGTAATTTATTATGCTCTACACGAAGTATAACCCTCGTATAACATGCCTACCTAGATCAAGTGACCAGGCAGGTAACAACTTTATAAACTAAGGGCCTCCATATTAGATCGTCGCCTATCTTTCTATGTATAGTTCTTAACACTTGCATATTTATTTAAACCTCTTTGCAGGACAAGGATGACATGTGGGCCCGACGTATACAGGCTGAGCGATTTAAGTGGTACAACAGTCAGTGGCTCGAGATGATTGAGGTCACCGATCAGCACAGTGCGCGCACACCACTCGGACTACGCGACAGCGGACAGGAGTTCCGTCATGCCTACTATGACAGTGAGGAGGAAGACTCTGAAAACCTCGTGATGGCAGCAACACTACTGGAGGATGCGGCGGGTTGGTTTCCGTCAACTGGGAACAAACCCTCGCTCGGTGGCGATAAAGGGGCACTGGAGCCTCCATTAGACTACTTTGGCAACCTCGGCATATTCTATCCTGGTAGGTCCTCTGCAAATTGTGACGTGTCTGTAGGAATCTTACGCGTATAATAGGCGAGATCCTATTTAGTTGTTAAAAAGTTTGAACCGCGACCATTAGAAGTATCATCATCACCAATTCGGTCCGAGCGAAAACCGAGCCAAAAACCGATTACAAAATTAAAGGTTGGACCATACGAAATGTAGGATTCTTTTTTCGAATCCGCGAATTATGCAGGTTCACTCAAGCTTTGAGTACCTTAATTAGGAAGTTCTGATTTGTGACGCGTGAATAGCACGCAGGCATATGTCAGAGTTTGAACGTGTGTGCAGGTGATTGAATAATATCTGATAACCTTTTACAAGATAGAAATCTTTCAGAAGGGTAGTCAGCGAGCGTAAGTAAGTTCTCGATAGGGCCAGCACATTTATGTGGGAACGGGATACAGGTTAAAACATGTTAGTCTCTTCATACAAGTGAATCGTGGGTATAGGGGGGGAATGGGGGTCGATAAACGGGGGCTGTTTATGCGGCGGTGAGGGGGAAGGCGGAGATAAAGGGAGAGCGCAGACGCATGCATGCAGTTAGGCGACCGTTGTTCATGTCAGGCGTGGAGCTTGCAGGGGGTCCCCTTATGCACACAAGACAAGA